ACAAGAGTAGAGTAGAGTAGAGTAGAGTAGAGTAGAGTAGAGTAGAGTAGAGTAGAGAAGAATAGAAGCTGGAAGGGACCTTGGAGGCCTTCTAGTCCAGCCCCCTGCTCAACCTCAAATTTGAGGGAAACATCTTCAGGAGAAGGCGTGCTTCCCCTGCCTTAATCCATTTAAGCCTTGAAATGCTCTAAACGTGTCCTTCCCAAAAAGAAATAGTCAGCCAAATGCCAAACACTTCACATTGATCCTCACCGCCTCTATAGAAGGCAGACAGTAGCAAATATTCCGATGTTTTCATCTCGTGCTTTTTGCTGACAGGCTTAAACCTAAACACGTTTGCTGGCTTTGGAAATCGCACGTTCTTCGAAAACCACTCAGAAAGGACCAAGCTCCTTCTGACTGCACGGGCATCCCCCCTGTGGTTAAAATGTTCTCCTCCTTATTATTTGTAACATAACAGAGAGAGTGTTAGGCACACAGCCAAGGGTGGCTACCCATAAATTTTGCATCCTTGTTTTAAAAGCATCAGCAAGTCATTTCCTACGGCAACATCGTTCAGCCTAACAACCCCTAATGCAGCTGGCTGCGAATCCTAGAGTTGTACACCGGTCTGGGCAAGGCTGCCCTTTGGAAAAATAATCATGCACTCAAAGCACACCTTCCTTTTCCACATTGGAAAGCAACAAAAGCGCATGTAAGAGGAAACACTGCAATGAAGACAGATGGGCCTTCCGTCCTGACTGTGCTGCCGAGCCTCCTGAAACTGGAACAATGCTCTGGATCTGAAGCAGGACCCCTGGGGCATAAAGGCTACAGGAGCAGAGAGGATCTAGCTAGAGCCACAAAGGACCAACGTGCTTGACAACAGCGCCCTAGGGCTAGGCTTCAGTGGATCCCTCCAAAGAGAGCACAAGAGCGAGGCTGCAGGGGAAACTTGCTTTCTGGATGCAGATTAGGCAGCTGATGGATCAACCTTCTTGGGCCAGTTGGTTTAACTCAGGTATGCACAGGGGACCTCTGTCCAAAGCAAAGTCTTTCTGGAGTCACCCAATTATCTCTGTCACCACCAGAAAACAGGGGCACCAAGCTAACCTCCACAACCACTGTCTCATTTCCTACTTCTCACACCAAACAACTGTGTCCTTGTCCACACACACACACACACACACAGGGCTACTTTTGCTCCCCAGAACTGCATTTGTCTCCTACTCGGTGGATAGCACGTTGCTTTTATGATTAGCGAAAACATCAAACTTTTGGCCCCATGATTGTGTCTGATCTCCTTTAAAGCCATCTTAGCTAATGGCCATAACTGAAAGGTATTCCTTTTGATTGATTGCTTAGTGACTCCCCAAAGTTAGGATCTTCCTCCCATATTTGGGCCGACAGGGTGCATAAAAAAACACTCAAGACATATATGTGTGTTTATACACACACACACACACACACACATACATATATACACACACATATGTACGCATATATATTAATCACAATTTAGTTTAACTTAATTTAATTTTTCCAGTTTACTGATGCTTAGAATTATCCATGATGGAAGTGGCCTATGAGCCTAAATTAAATAAATATATTTGCACCTGAACTAAGCAGAGAACTAGATTAAAGGATCTTTCATTTATGGCACATATCTGATTTTTCCAATGATAAAACACATGTATCAAAAACTATGCTTCAGATAAAAGTGATCCCCACAATACATATGTTTATATACAAAAAGGCATTTAACCACCACAACAACAAAAAAATGTTCACACACTTGATGGAATACTGGACCAACAGGCACTGGAGCTTTGGTATCTACAACATCCACTCAAATTTCTGCCCAACATCCCAACTTGATGGTATTGTGTGTGTATTAGGCAGTCATATAAATTTGCTGAATGAATGAATGAATAAATGAATGAACGAACAAACCTCTGTAGAAAATCCACAATCTTGTGTTTGAAATTTTGCAGAAAGGGAAAGAAGTAGATCTGTCCATCTTCCCACAATAGGACACAAACCATAGGAGATGACCAGGGGAACCCGAGGGAGGGGTCAAATGCATCATCAGTCTGGCATGCCTTCATGCCCACAAGAGATCTAAGTCCAGTCCACTTTGAGTCCAATCCACCTTGAATTCCATTGACTCTTATCTACCACCAATTTGCTTGGGTCATTAGTAGTTAAGATTCTTCTAGACAGCTTAAGATTGCTATAAATCTTTATACCCATTTGAACTGCCTGGATCTCCTGATTTCCCTGGTGCTTGACACAAAGTAAGATCACATCCTGGGGTGCACAGAAGCAGTCACTGCTTGCTATTATGGGTAATAAGGGTACAACTATCTGATCCTCACCAGGTTACCTCGGGATTATTGGCCTGGTTCTTGACCCCCACCTAGCTCCCTAACGTATGTAATATTATTGTTTCAATGCTTTTGATTAAAATGAGCAGGAAGCTACCATACTCCTAAGCAAAACCTCATGAATATCTGTCTTGTCTCTAAGCCCCTCGCAGACCTTGGAGGCATTCTTAGAAAGTTAAAAATATGCGTGACTGAAGCCCAGCACTTTGATTATCTTCTGGGGAATGGGTGGTTTGGGTTTGGCCACACCCACCATAACAGCCATGTTGTGACAGTGCTCACAGGATACTCTCAGAATCCCAAATGCATCTATTGGCTCCAAACAGGTATGGAGCCTCTGATTCTGGTGACACACCAAGAGCTTGGTATCTTGAGAGATATAGCATCATCTATGCAGGAAACGTTCTGTCAAATAGGCAGCCTTTGATGGTGGCTGCTTTGGTTGCGATGATGATCTACCTTGAGGTGATGGCAACATTCTTGTTTTCCTACTGAAGAGACCCTGAGTTGTACTACAGCATGTTGATATCCCCCCGAAAGAACAGATCTCAACGGCTTTCAACCATCACAAAAGAGGTGCAACCAGGACAGCAACAGAGACCGTCATCTGGGCCTTTGAAGATGTTGTCCATCAAGCTAGCCAAAGATGATGATCTACCAACAACAGCAAATCCTACTTCCCTCTAACTGGGAAAGAGATTTTTAAACAGCCCAAAGAACGTGCGTCCATCACATACTCCAATGCCTCCATGTACAAATCCAAATGTATTCAATTTATATTTGTTAATACAAATCAGGAGAAGGGATGTCTTGCAGCAGAGAAGTAAGGTGGGAAGAGAAAGGCAGAAGCCGGGCCTGCTGTGGTCACCAAGTGAGCTCCTGTGGCTTTGAGATCAACGAACAAAACAGTTCCAAATGACCCTTCCTTCTCAAGGCTTTGGCCCAAACTAGATCCTTCCACCAGAATCAGAAACCTAAGTCAACTGTCCCAAAACTGGGTCCCTCCAACTGCTTGGGACTACATTTCCCAGAATTCCTTTGAACTGGAACATCTCGCAGCTATGATCCTAAGCATTGCCAGGGATCAGGTGGAAGAAAGCTGGCCTGCGAGTGATCATTAATACAATGGATGGGAATCCTGCAGGATGTAGAGTCAGTGCTCAAGGATCCTTTTGAAAGCGCCCACCCAAGGACAGAGAAACAGAAGTTTCCATGGTGCTACTTGACCCAACGATTGTTGCCCAACACATCTGCACCCTCAGATTTTCTGCATCCTTCACAAAGGTTGTTTCTTGATTCTGTTGTCTTTTTTAAACCTCTAACAATGTTGAATACTGGGGACAGACTGAAGGCAGTATTAAATATTTATTGCAAAGGGAAAATGTGGGCTGCTTTTTTTTCATGGCGGAAAAAAAAACTCGGTTAAGAGTGGGAAAGGGAGGTGCTGGTTTCCACTGAAGATGTTGCTGGATGCCAAAGGCAGCTAAGAGATTCCCAAGTCCAGGCTGAGAGCCGTTTAGCAAGCACCCGGATGGGGAAGCAATCTTGCTGGCCCCTTTTGGCTGGCATCCTGAAGGATCTACCCAGAGGCAGCCACTGTAAGAGGACAGCTGCGTTAGTCGGTGGGAGCAACAAATCAGAAGGAACACCTTTTCCAATGAAATAGCTTTATTAAAAGGCATCATACATAGCTCGAGAACGCTTCTCCCTTTTAATAACATTTGCAAGTTGCAAAAGGTGCCACTGACCCCTTCTGAAGGAATGCAGCCCCTCAGATTCCGCCTCACTCAACAGAGGAGGAGGCAAGCATCTTTGCTTGTATTCAAATCTTCACATTTCTGCATAAATCTCGCTCAACCGTTTTCAAAAGCACCGGAAAGCAGCTTAGAGCAGGAAACCCCAAAGGCATCTCTTATCAAAATTGTCTGAGGGAAAGGGGGGAAACACCCCGCCCGCAGCCCATGCCATAGATAATAAAATAAAATAATTAGCCCGCTAACAATTTCCTCCAGAGCCACACCGTCAAAAGATTCGCCTACAGTTGCATAAGCTGCTCAGGTCAAGGGTTTTTTTTTTTTTTGGCATGGTGGGGAAAAGAAACGCCACAGCAACATTCCACACCAGGCCATTCAAAATCATCCTTACAGCCCAAGTGGATTTATTGAGGCTAGGCAACAGACACACACACAGGGACACACAGACAGAACCACACACGGAGGGATCCTCCATTAAAAAGGTTTTTTTTTTTTTAAAAAAAAAAAAGAAGCTGTACCAATCAGCAGCCTGCATCTCTCCCCCATAGAAACACAGTTTTGCCTGGAGAGATGCTCAGCCTTTATGCAGCAATGCCAGAAGGAACCCTACAATTCCAGCCACCCCACCCCCACTTCTGGCAGACTCAGCGGGGAGGGGGGGAACGAGGGTCTGTCTAGTAGGAAGGCTCTGAGGATCAAGATCTGCTCCCCGCCTTCCCCGTGCAAATTCTTCTGCACAAAAGCACGGTTCCCACTTCCCCGCCTTCCCCCTGCCCTTCGCACCTGCCTGCATCTCAACTGAGACCCCCAGAGGCATCCGATCTGCCCATCTGACCTGCCCACCGAGAGACTCCCCCCCCCAGTACTGGCTGCCACTTACCCCCAGTTTCCTGCTTTTCATCTTCACGTAGCCTTGCTTGACGATGTCGTTGAAATTGGTAGCCATGGCTCAGCTGCCGGCCTGCCAAGGGTTGCCTCTTCCACACCTCTTTCTCTGAGCTGCTTTCCTCTAGGGCAACGTCTAGGGCAGTGCCAATCTCGCCCTGCCCTCCGCTCTGCTGGTTCACCTGTTCTCAGACTTGAGCTGGCACGCTCCCTCGCCTGCCCTCCAGCATTGTTCTAGTCGGAAGGCAAAGCGGCTTCTTCTGCTCGGGCGCTGGAAAATAAAAATGACAGATAGATTAGAGAGGGTGACATCTTTCTCTGCTCATCTGCCCCCCTCCACCCCTCCCTCTCTTCATCCCTTCCCTCCTCCCCCTCTTCCATCCCTTGCCCCCCCCCCTCTCCTCCCGACTCAACCATTCAGGAGACTGGTACAGTAAAAGGGTGAGGAGGAGGAATGGAACAGTCTAGTGTTTAACTCAGCGGGCGCTTCAGCTCCGTAATTCATACAGAGAAGCTTCCACGGCTAGACCCAAGAACAAAAGAGAAGAGACAGCTTTTTTTTTTTGTTTTTACAGAAGAAAAGACTTTCACACCTACCATTCAAACAAGCTCCTTAAGTTGCCTTCCCTGTTCCTTATTCCATCTGAGCAGGATAACTTAGGACCTCCCCGTTGCAACACAAAGCAGGAATTCAGAAGTGGGACCTCTGAAGACACCCGTTCAAAGGAGCAAAGCTTAAACCACATTATTTAATTCCCCAGCTCCTTAACGAACGAAGGAGAGCTTATATGCCGACTAATTTTACTCGGCTGGTTAATTAAATCCCAAGAGCCGGCATGCGCAGGAGCCCAAACGTACCACGAGTTTGCTCATGTTGACATCCCTGCCTAATTACCTGGTTTGGCCACTGCAGTTTGATTACACTGGACTTTTTTTTAAAAAGACAGCATTAATTACAGTTGGAGCAAATAAAGATAATGCAGTCTGTGCCGACAGATCAAACGTTAAAAGACAATTTTTTTTCTGCTGAATGCAGTAAAAATACTGCAGGGGAGGAAATATTCCTCCCCCCAACATATTGGTACATGAAACAAATGAAAGATGCGTCTTTTTATTGTGCCTGTCCTACAGAGAGGCTTTCAGGGTGCTGGATACCCAGTTAAGTCCATTTTCGCTCACTTGATGCTACCCGCCACATCCAGAGGGACTCACTTGCTCAAGCTGTTTTTCTCTCCCCTATACCAGACTTGTTCACCCACCCTGCGGCATTTAAAAATAAATAGCAAAAATGCACCATTTGCATGTAAAATGAGCACAGCTTGTTGTTGATACCTCTTGGCCCTTTTTGCTCCATTTGGAGAAGATTCTCCCAAAAGTTGTAGGTATCTCTTAACAGCCAAAGTCAGGGGTGGGTGGGAGCTGGGTCATTCCTGCTGACCAAAATTTCTCCACCTCTTATTACAGGCAGTCCTCGACCACAACTGAGCCCCGAATTTATGTTGCTAAGTGAGAAATTGGTTCAGTGAGTTTTGCCCCATTTCCTTGCCCCGTTTGTGAAGTGAATCACTGCAGATGTTAAATCAGTTGGGAAATGAATCGGGCTTCCCCATTTCTTCACTTGTCAGAAGATCGCAAAAGGGGATCACATGACCCCGGGACACTGTGACCGTCATAAATGTGAGTCAGTTGCCAAGCGTCAGAATTTTGATCACGTGATCCCAGGAACTCTGCAAAGGTCGTAAGTGTGAAAAATGGCCGTAAGTCAATTTTTTCAGGGACGTTGTAACTTCGGACGGTCACTAAACAAGCTGTTTTAAGTCAAGGACTGCCTGTACTGACTTTGCAGGGGTGTGGGACCGGGCTGGGTGGCAATGCCAGCCTCCCTACCGTCCCGCAACCCGTAATATTTCCCACACTCCAGCAGGGACTGCCTTTTTACTCACCAGCGTTTCTGCTCTTATTATCTCCTTTTTTTTGCTACTAAAAATAAACCCCAGTTGTAGTTTGAAAGCAATGGAAGAAAAGCCTTGGCCCCGCCTGAGCCACAGCTGAGTCGGCAGCTAAGTCTGCCACCATAGCTGTCCCCGGGCAGGAAGCGCCCGCCACCCTCTCGTCCCCACCTTGCTGTGTCTGCAGGCCCCTCTGAGCGCCACGCTGAAGCCACTGATTCAGCTAAAGCATTGCAAAAGGGAGCCCTTGCCCAAGGCATCCCATAATGGCTCCTTTGCATTGCTAAGCTCTGGGATGCCAACGCTGCCTGTCTGAATGCTACTGCTGACTCTCGGCTGGCCTCGTCCTGAATGCTGGCTAGTGGGTGGACCTGGGAAATTAAATGTTTTCCTCCCACAACTGTTCTTTGCATAACAGCATTCCTTCCTTCCTTCCTTCCTTCCTTCCTTCCTTCCTTCCTTCCTTCCTTCCTTCCTTCCTTCCTTCCTTCCTTCCTTCCTTCCTAAGGCAACTCTTTGTGTCCCAGGATAACGTTGCAGGATCCAATCTAGGCCAGAAACCGGGACCAAAGGTTTAGTCTTCCAAGCTTTTGGACTTGTGCTGGAGCCCATCCCAGAGAACTTCTCTTTGCCAGCATGTGTGCTTTGCTATGCTGTGCATAAAATAAAATCCAAAAGCTTGGAAGACCCAGTGACCGACCTAGACTGGATCCTGCAGAATCTGTTACATCCAGGGCTGGGCGTTCTGCGCTGTCTTGCATTGGGTCAATCTTGACGTTTCCAGAATCCTGGAAGAGACTGGACAGCCATTTGTCTGAAATGGTATAGGGTTTCCTGCCTGAGCAGGGGGTTGGACTAGATGACCTCCAAGGTCTCTTCCAACTTTTTTATTATTATTATTATTATTATTATTATTATTATTATTATTATTATTAACATCCTTCAGCAAAGTGGGACGCAAAGAAAAGCAGAGGGCAAGCAAGGAGGGCTGTGTGGACACTGAAATCGGGATCCCTAAGTGGAAAGCGATGCTAATTATGAAACAACAAAGTATATTCAACGGAGAAGAGCTTTCACAGCAACCCCGCTCTCGAGAGCAATGCTGTGCTCCTACGCCACCCAGACAATTTCTTCACTTCACCCCTGAGAACGCTCCCGAACAGTGTCAACATCTTTTCGTTCACACAGAGCTTCCTTACCCTGGGAAGGCACACCAAAATGTGAGAAAGATTTGCAACATCGCCTGGCAATTCTTCACACCTCGCACTCACACAAACGCTCAGCAGCATCATAGGGCGGCATCATCCCTCCACACTTAGCGCTTACAAATATGTAGAATAAAATAGGAAGCCGTGCCAGGGAATCTACAGTGTCAAGAGGAAAGATGCGAGTCTCCAAGAGAAGGGGGTCTAACGACAATTCCCCAACTCTCCACGGCCAACACGCCAGAGGACAAGATGCACACTAATATCAAAGAAACGGTGGGATAGAATCACTAAAGAGAAGAGGAAAAAGGAGGGACAGAATGAAATGGAAGGACAAAAAGTAAAAGAATATTTAAAACTTATTGTAAAGAATTAAACTGAATGGTTAAACTGTCCCACGGTGAGCTGTTAGTCATGGTGAGTTGTTGCGCTGTGAGTTGGCTGTGTGGTCTCTCTTTACCATGAAACAACTATATCTGTGTAGAAAAAGATCAGATGATTCTCCATGTTCGTGATTTGCAGCAAAGGACTCTGTGTGCTAAATTACAAATAAATTGTTGGATTGGTTGCAAGCGTGTGACTTTGGGTCACATGAGCCGGGGGATGCTGCAGTGGTCATAATAAGTATGAAAACCAGTCGTAAGGCACTTTTTTCAGTGCTGCTGTAACTCTGAACAGTCCCTAAACGAACGCTTGTAAGTCAAGGACTACTTGTAGTCTGCTTTTGATTCCACACCCAAAGACTGGATCCACTGGGGGATTTCGCTTGATGCCAAAACCTTTCTGGAACTCAGTGCCCACCATCACTAGGCAAGGGAGGGGATGCCAAACACAGCCCTTCAAGCCCTAATCCTCTCTTTCAAGACTGCCAGAAGAAAAATAAGAAAATCTCTCAGAGATGGGGAATGAATGAAGGCAGGCTGCTCTCATACTGATAGCAATTTAACAGGCTTTTTGGTGTTCCCGACAGTCGCACAAGGAGATCACACACATATTTGACAAGTGCTGATAGCATTAAATGGTCTAGGGGGTTCCGGATGACCCTGATTGGCTGGCAAAACTGGCTGGCAAAACCAGTTTTTCCACCTAGGAAAGTAGGAATCTGCACAGAAGCTTCTGTATCGCCTGCAACCTAACTGCTATTCTCTTGCTTTCTCTCCAATTAAAAAAACAAAAGATGCAATTAACTTGATAACAACTCTTCTGAGCTGTTCAAGGTTTAAGATCTGTTTTCTATTGTCCCAGAATTCAGGAGATGGAAAAATGGATTTAAGTTACAGGAACTGAATCTTAAGAAAAACATCCTAACAGGAAGAGCAGCTCCTTAGTGAAACCAGGAAGACGCGGCCTCTTCTTCTTTCCTGTCGAAGCAGAGACTAAACAGCCATCTGTTGAGGATGCTCTAATTGGGATTTTGGCACCAAGTTAAAGGCTGGCCTCCGGGGCCTTCCACGTCAAGATTCTCTAGGTCATGTCACAACTGTCTGGATCCATCTGGGCTGATCAGATGACAGGAAAAGCCTGAAGAAGAGGAAGGGGCTGCAGATATTGTCCTTCAGATGGTGAACGGGGAAAGGGGTACCTTTTGGTAAGGATTCCAGAGCAGTGCTGCTGAACTGTATATATATATATATGGCTATGGCCCACACAGTGGCTAAGGCACTTGTGGTTGAAAACCTGCCCTGAAGGGGAATGCAAAGGGGGGGGGGAGAAGAAAGATTCATCAGCAAGCCCCTCAAGGGCTCTAGCACAGTGGTTCTCAACCTTTTTAATGCCGTGACCCCCCAACCGGTCGTAAGTTGAGGACTACTCAACCGGTCGTAAGTCGAGGACTACTCAACTGGTGCAGCACCGTTTGCAGAATGGGACTTTTGGCGGGCTCAGCAGGGCAGAGACAGCCTGGACAATTCCTATTGGCTTTTGAAAGCCAATAGAATTAGACTCTATTCAAGAGAGTCTATTCTATTGGCTTTCAAAAGCCAACAGAATAAAAGGGAGTAGCACAGCTAAGGAAAAGGGGAAAAAAAATGGCGGATTGCGTTGTTTGGCGACTCCCGTGAAATGGTCGTTCAACCCCAAATGGGGTCGCGAGCCACAGGTTGAGAACCGCTGCTCTA